GATTAAAAGTGATACAAATTGACATCACGTTTACAGAGGCTGCCAACCAGGAAATTACTTTCCATTTTGCCCCATGTGGTTCTAAGGTCCCTCTGGCCGGCTTGTATCAAAAACTGACGTCTCCTTTAGTGCCGACCATGAATTAGTCAGCGGTCAGCCAAAGAGGGCTGATTGGTCCCATTAGAAAGGGCAACCAAACTAAACCCAATTTAGACCCGAATGGAAAATCTGACCTTCTATTAACTGGACCATAGATGAGAGATACTTATGTCTTTACTAATATGCTAATCCTTGCTATATACCCTATAATATTCTGATCTTTCCATGGTCCAGGTTAACAAGCTGAACCAGTGAACCTGTCTCTGCCTTCTTGATTGAAGCAGAGTTATTGTAGCTAAAGGTCAGGACATAATTAAACACCACCATGGCCATTTGGAAAATCACACTGAAGACTCTACGTACACTGTTTCTACCTTGTATCGTAGTTTTAAATATCAAATTATAAGTGTTCAACCAAATTATAATCTCGACTGGATTCCAGCATTGGAAGGTTACACGATTAACAGTAGAAGGAGCATATAAGAGGATTAGAATTAGAGAGACATATAAATTGGCAAAATACGAATAGATAGCTGATAAATGGGCTACCATAATCTTCCAATTAGAGTCACAGCCAAATGTTCTAGTAATGAATTATTATTGCCATAGCTACAGCTTGCCCACTATTTTGTTCATTAACAGCGACACAAGAACATTTCTATCAATCTTATCAGGTTCTGTGTGTTTGCTGTATTGTGCCATTTGTGTTTATAGAGTGGTTGCTGTGCAGCTGTGCACTCACTCAGAGTTGGATTCATGATTCAGGTTCCACAAACAAGAGGGAGAATCGCTCAGCTTTTCTACGGCTGATTCTGCAGATTCTGACTGCCTGATGAGGACTTGCTGATTTTTGCCGCGTGATATTGTTAGCCAGTCCATGTGGCAATACATTATACAAATAATTTGTCTCGTTTTATAGGTTTCTCTTGTTTTGTTGACAGTTCAAACCCGTTGTCAGAAAACAAAGAAATGTAGTAAATAGTCCCAACTAAGAAGCTAGAATCAGTGAAAAATGCGTTTTTTTAACGAAAAGACTAATCAACTAGCAAAATTGTTAACCTGTCGATAGATTAATCAAATAATTGTTGCAGCTATAAAACGTACTGTTGCACTCTGAATCTTCTCTCAACATTGCTTAACCATCAACCTTTGTGTCAGTGCACACACATGCTACAGACTTAGAGAGTCGCCATTGCCTGTATTTCTTTTTTGTGCGCACACAGATGAGCTCTGACTGTGGGAGTGTGCTGTACTTGTGGTCAGTCATGCCTCTTGTCAACCTGCTTGCACAGACTTGCTTGTAGTATAACATCCTGCTTTCTGAGTTGCTATGTGTCTATGAGTACATGTTTCTATGCAACTGTGTGAGAAAGAGAGTGTGGGAGATTTACTGGTTTCTATGAGACGTCCATGTTTCCAAATGCTCCTTAACCTGTTCTGTACACTAGACGTCAACGCTCAGGACTGACCCGTACTTCACCCCAGGCTCTTTGTTTCTTAGAAGCCTCTGAACTCAGAGGACAGTCAACTGTGAAGGGCGCCAATGTTGGCAAAGTGTAATCCCAGGGAGGTTACCTGTAGTCCATTACTGGCATCAAAATCCAGCATCAATGCCCAGACATCCAGTCCTATGTTGCCACACAGTGTACTGTCATCAGAGCCAGCATCTTACAGTCTTACCAGAAGACTTATTAGTGCTATAGAAACTGCCGAGCACCAGCTGCTGCATGTGGATGTTGGGTGGAGCTCTGGAAGGTACTGTAACTCAAGAAACACGGGCGACAGATGGGACTAGAGGTGTTATCAACACCCTCGCCTTTAATGATATTCCAAAGTGCTTGCACAAAGACACAACTGCGCATGGATGAGCACACTATTTGATACCTAATATACATGCAATAATGTAAAAGCATTGTCGCATGCTTATCGGCTTTCTCAAGAAACACCTTTACACGCGCACTCACCAGGCCGTATAGTAACAGGCTGAACTGCCATATTTTTAAATCACCAAAGCGGGGTATACACAAACAAATTAGACCCCATCGTCACATTTTTGCGGTCAACAAGGACATTTAAGCTTTTCGAAAGATGATGCATTGATAAGTTTAGATGTTTGCGTAGAAGCTCTGATTTGCAGGTGTTATTAGATAATTAATTAACAATATATTTACTTAATGACAGCCTTGGTGCAGCAGTTCAGTTTGTTTGCCATGGTAAATAGGTCATTATTTCGTTGCTATTGCTCAGTTTTCCAAAAAAAACACATAAATAACACTTGAAATGCAAAATTGTGTCTCCATCAAAATCGAAACATATTTAAAGACATCACGTACAGTTGGAGGCGATGGAAAAGATGTGTACAAGACCTTCTACTGCTTGCTAAATGATGGTTGTTATTCGCTTATGACAATTAATAGCAATATTATCTGCGATTAAGGAGATGAGATGATTGCTATTGCTCCTGCTGATTATAAGATGCTATATTCCTGCTTTATTTATTGTGTGTTGGGTCAAAATGTATTTATAAAGTGTATATACCTTTAAAACCAGAATTAGATTTAACAGCCTATACCAAAGGCAGCCTAAGCTCTCTTCCCCTAAGTCCTTTATGTTCTGCATGTCTGTACTCTGTACCATGACACGTCTCACAGCGGGCTCCTGCTACACATGCTAGCCCTCAACTGCTGTAATGTCCCATTTTGGTAAGACAATGGCTAATTAGACAACACGACACACGACACTGTCTTCTAATGACAAAAGATTCACATGGTGCTCTGGAGGGGACGACAATAATAGGACTTCAGCCTGAAGACAACCCTCATCCTAATAGAGACATATATGAATCCACTTCAGTGTGAACATCCTTGTATTGCTGCATGTCCCTTTTTCATGCAATTTAAAAAGATTCTGAAGTCATCAGATCGGGCCGAGACTAAGAAGTAGCTCCTTTGTTCTTTCCTGTGAAATGTGATCACAAACTTCCACGTCATTGCATCTGGACGGCGTGCAAAGAAGAGTGAGAGGAGAAGCAGGAAGTTACAAGACTGGGGAGGGAAGAAGAAGGGGAGAAAAAGATCCAATGCTGCTACCCAAGCTACTTTTCTTCTCAAATCCTCTCGTGTGTCTCGAGCCCCAATTGGTCCTCATATTCCCTGTGAGCACGCCATGGAAAAGCATAAGCTCTTCTTGGAAAAGCAAGCATGAAAAGGCCATATTTCCTTCTCAGTAAATGAATGAACTAAAAAAGACAACCACGTCATATTGTTGCTTCATCTCTCTTCCACCCGTCCGTCTTTCGTCTCCTCTTGAATTTCAATTGAGAGGCTTCAAAGTGAGCGGCTCAGTGGTTGAGGGGGTCATCAAACAAGCCGGGTGATTCAGCATTACAGGCCTCAGAGGGCTCTCCCAGGCCCCCACTGATGAACGGTTCTTATTGGCTGATAAACCTGGCAAACTCCCCTTCTCGTATCTGAAAAGGTTCTCTGCGTTCTTGTCTTTATTATTATTATTGACTTTCCCGCCAATTGCATAGCAGGAGTTAAAAACCAACCACTCAGTGAAGAGAATCATTTTCCTTTAGCTGTTGACAACCTGTCAAGCCAATTGCACCCACTCAATGATTTGTCAACAGCAGTTAGAATATCGCGCTGTGCCTTTCCCGGACTAGAATGTGTCCATGAAATGTTCTTTGGGACAGCTGGGATTTACAGATGATTGTCGGTAAGGAAGAGGCTTTTGTCAACAGCACAATCGAAAACAATGAGACATCTCAATCTGTTTGTAATCACATTGCACTGCTCAAACTGTCACATGCACCAAAACGAACATATTTGTTGTAATTGCAGCTGAGCTGATCACTCTCCTTTTAGATGCTACTGTATGAAGGCTCTTGTCCTTGAGTCATTATGTTCTAACCAGCATTCAGTATGGCAGATGGCTCGAGTGGATGCCCATTTGCGTACATTCATACGTACATGCTATGAAGTGTCCCGGATCTGAACGGAGGCTGTTTTTGACAGCCTGTCATACTTTGGCACAAACAGCTTCTATTGACATTTCCATTTATTTTAATGACATCTCTTACAATTATTTGTAATACCATGTTGGAAAAAGAAATATTGACTATAAAGAAGAGTGCATTGAAGTTAATTTGATAGTTTGTATATTTCAAGTTCAGAAACAATACCCGCTTTTATATGATTAATTACAATACATTCAAATGGACACTTTAGGGACATGACGGGGTACTCATGATCTGATCGAGCTGTGCAGTTACATCAAATCGGAAAAAAGGTTGGAAACCGCTAATAAAAAAACCTTGAAACTATAGCAGACTAATAATTAGCTGATCAGATAATTATTACAGTCTGATGTCTTTACACTTTCTTGATACAGCACATGCAAAGTGATTCAAAGGAAACAGCATCTGCAACCAATAGGGAGCCATCTGCATTTTGTGTGAGCTCTTCCCAACAGCTGATGCTCTAGCTGGCAATGTACCTGTTGATTTATTAATATTCTACAGCTATCATCATAACGCACATTATAATCCAAACAAACAGTAAAAGATAATGGTAGCTCCAAGGGAAACTGTAATTGTCTGATCTGTGAGACATCCAATCCCAGGGACTTTATTTGGGAAAAGATGTTCAGTGGTGCTCAAACTGTCAGACTTTCGGTCATTTACTTTTCCAAGATGAAACTCAAGTCACTGAATTGAGGGGACATTTGCTCATTAGCTCAATTTACCATTGTGATCGACAAGAGACATATCATCAAGTAAGTTAATTGGCTGCTCAGACGTCAACATGTTCTTGAAGACGTAACACCTTAACACCTACTCATACTGTGTGCCTCTTTTTTTTTCTCTTTCCTGTCTTTTCCTTCCTCTTCATCATTAGATGGTGGTTCTGATGGACCCCATGGAGGACCCGGACGACATCCTGCGTGCCAACCGCTCAGGGAGCAAACCTACATGTTTGATGTGGCGTTCGACTACTCAGCCAGTCAGGTCGGTCAAAAGCACATTTTTCAATAGAAAAATACACATTTTTAGTGTTTTGGCTTGTTATAAACCGTAAATAAAATCTAAACATATGCCGCACATTATTTGAGTCCCTACAAATATTTTTCTCCATCTTGTGCAGGATGAGGGTGTACCGAGCTACACCAAAGGGCTGATTGAGGGCCTCATTTCAGGCTACAATGCCACCGTGTTTGCCTACGGACCCACAGGTTTGTGTGTGTGAGTGTGTGTTTGTGTGTGTTGCTCTAACCCACAGAGTTAACTGAGTACTCTGTCTGAATAGAGGTTTATCATCTACCAATTACATGTGTTAGCTCTTGATGCAGAAACTCTGGTCAACAGTAGAAGGGTGAGTCACTGAAAACACCTAGTTTTAAGCATTTAGCTTTTTTGGTGTGTTTTGGTTCAGAATCACGTATTTATTTAAGTTACCGATAAGCAGAGATGGCAAAAGTACACACATCCTTTACTCAAGTAGAAGTACAGATACTCGTGTTTAAAAATACTCTGGTAGAAGTACTGACTAAACTTCTTTACTCAAGTAAAGTAAAGAAGTATTGGCTTCGAAATGAAAGTACCCATAACTACCAACTGTTTAATAGATTAACTGACCTCACTTTATATTAATAGAACAATAATGTCATTGTTAGCTAATGAATGTTTTGATGCTGAACAACGGCAAAATGACAACGTTTTCATTGGTCCCTCTTGTTTAGAGAAGACCAGGAAATTAAGGATACACGGATCGTGGCACGCAATGACTCTAAATAATGATCACGCCACCAAACACAGATTAAAACTAAAGTAACCCAGCCTGTTTGGAAAATGTAAGAGTAGAAAGTACAGGTATTTGTGTTCAAAATGTAAGAAGTAAAAGTAAAAGTCGTCAGAAAAATAAGTAGTGGAGTAAAGTACTGATACGTACCAGAAAAATCTACTTAAGTACAGTAACGAGAGTATTTGTACTCCACTACTCCCACCTCTGCCGATAAGTATGATATTTTTCAAAATGGCATTAACTTCCTGTTTTTTAACGTTTAACCTCTAGATTGACCCCATCTATCACCTTTGTTAATATTTCTTATTTAACGTTTTCCGTTTCTGTTCCAGGTTGTGGGAAGACATACACCATGTTGGGGACGGACCAAGGAGCCGGGCATCTACGTCCGACCGTTAAACGACCTGTTCCGTGCCATTGAGGAGACAAGTGACGACATGCTGTACAGCGTCTCCATGTCCTATCTCGAGGTACGGATTCCATCTTCCACAACTTATCTCTAGACAACTTATTCTCAAGACGAAAATACTCATCCCCGTTAAAGCAGTAGTGATGCAAAATAGATCCTCATTACCCTGAATCAGGGCTCCAAAGGTTACAACCATTAACTTGATTGCTCACTAAGAGTTTAAAGATTCACATCTGAATTGTTTTTATCTCCGTTTCTGTCAGCGACACAATTAGAACTTCTTCTTTCTCCGTCATCTGTTCACACTGATAAGATCTGAGGTTGTTAGCTAATGCCAATTGCAGCCCAGGTGTCCATTACTTTTGCCTGGCATTCGTTTCACATCTGAAATGACCCGAGCTAGCATCCACAGCGCAGCGAGAAGCCCAGACACAGATAAAAAGACTTTTCAGAACGTGTTAAATCCACACTAGTATATGTGTGCTGTTATACGCATGTGTTTCTTTTATATCTTGTCTTGCTGCCTTTTTTATTTCTATTATAAACTACTTTGAATTGTCTTCTAAATTGCTTTTGAAAGGCGCTGTACCAGTTAATTGCCTTGCCTCCTGTTGCCTTGTCAAAAACAATTAAGGCCTATTTTGTGTTTACCTTCTTTCTTCTTTCTAAAGGCAAAAGATCACAGGCTTAAAACATCAGTGCCACTTCAATGAATCAAACATTTTGTACATTTGTATTCTGAGCAGATATAAACAGTGGCGTTGCTTTTCTCTCTTTTTATATTCTTAGAATACAAACACAGACTATTGAGTGATGGTTTTTTCTCTCATATGTGCTGTGGACTATGGTCTGTCGTGTTACATTGTGTTTTTATTGCACCTTTTTTCACAGAAAAATATACAAGGACAATTGAGGCAAAGCATTTGAATCAATTACACTTTTTGTGAGACCTTTTCGATGAAGTTGAGCATAGTTTGCATGAATGTATATTGCAGACATTAGAGGGGGGCAGCAATAATGACCCTAATAGACCATTACTCAAAATGAAGAGGTTTATTTTTAATTCTCATTATCTTTTTATTTCATCACAGTGGAGTAGTAACCGTGCTGTAGGTGTAGAGGTGATTGTGTTTGGGGTGAGGAGGTGATCTGTGGTCTGGTGGCTTAGTGATTATCTGCCTTTGTCACTGCATGATGCTGCCACTGATAGGCATGCGGGCTGATGATGGCGGTTTCTCTCTGCGTGCCTGCTGGCTGCGGTTCCAAACCTCATTACTGAGAAGCAGGTACAGACTCAGACTGAGTGTTTGATGACAAAGCCCTTAATAGCACTGGATACAATGGAGCTGGTTCATCTGACTCTGATAGCAGTTAACCGAGCCTCTTTGGTGTGGCTTATAGTGTTTCCACTAAAAGAGGTTAACTTTTGGCTTTTTCTTGACTTTATTGGTCAATTTGACGTTTGTATAATCATACTTATCTATTGCAGCTTTTACTGTAGATAGCAGAGTTGTTTTTTATAATACAGGCAATACTATATTGTGTTAACACTGGAATTTTCCTTAATCAGAATTCTAGTTTCGCTCCAAAGTCATTTTTGAAGGGAGATGGCAGCATGAATATACGAGCAAGAATGACTCAGATTGTTTAAAAAGTATTCTGTCAGGAAAGCAAATGAGAAAGCAAGAGGAATTAAAGACAGATAGAAAGATAACTATACCCTAGTACAAAACAAAAACTGCCAAAAGAGCACTAGCCTTTATCTGAAAATGAAAATGTTTTTTTTTATTTCCAGCAATCAAACAATTGCTGGGGTACCGATTTTGCCTGCTGGGAAGAGGATTAGCCTTCAGACATGGACATTTCGTTTTGTGTGTTCAGGGCCAAACACTGTCATTATATTTTTAATGATTGACATCGTTTTTGAAGCTTTGCTCTTTAGTAGCCTGCCAGAGTAAAAAGGTCCAATTAAAATGACAACCAATAGAATCTGAATGTGTGACCTGCTATTGAACTCTCCGGGATGAATCCTGACACAAGTGTATGTGTGTGGACGTGTGTGTTTTACTGTTTCCAGGGAGCAATCTGTTGCCACCGCTGCCTCGCTACAAGAGGGTTTAAACGCCATTTTACAGCCTCTGACTGAGCTAAAGATGCGCACATCTGCATCCCTTTCTTCTTCAAATCACTCTCTCTTTCACTACGTGCAATCTCTAAACACAGAAACACATAGAGTTGAATGCAAATAAATAAACTGTGTGCAGATAAAAAAAGGCACAGTTATTCTTTACCTTTCACATGCACACATTGCTCCCTCTTCCTCTCTTTTATATTTATTTTATTTCCCACGTCTCTCACACCAGGAACCTCAATGGAAGAAAAAACCTTTTTAGCTACTGTATGCTGGCTTCACGGATGTCCTTGGGGGTTGCTTTTACCAAACAAATAATTAATGACATTCTCACTGTACTTTGTTTTAGTGCTGATAATGATGTTACCATGATAAACCTGAAATTGAACATTGTACCTGCTTAAAATCTAAATATCAGTGTTCTCTTTTTTAACATGTGAGAATGCTGACATTCGACATTAGCCAAAGCACCATCAGCAGTGTTGGAAGAAGTACAAAAACTACGGTCTTATTTACTCCATTACAAGTAAAAGTCCTGGATTTCAAAATGTTACTTAATATGGGTGGGGTAAGGGTAATTTGGAGAAACCAGCTCGAGTGCGATATAATTTGAAAAATCTGCCACTTCCTTACAGAGCCCCTCCTCCAACACACACGAACGCGCACATGACCAATGAGGGCACGAGATAAGTTTGTGCACAGATGGAAGGCTGACAGGCAGGTAGGCCATCCAGTCATTTTAGCCGGGCCGGCTAAAATGATTGGGTGTTTTTACAGTACTACGGCTTCCACAGATGACATTTTTTTATGGATTTTTTGTCAAAGCACTTAAGATATTCATTGCTATCGGGATGTTAAGAGCATTCCATGGAATATAACAAAAAGTGTATCTCGAGCCGGTTTCTCACTTACCTACCCCACCTTTAAGTAAAAGTACAAAAGTATTAGGATTAAAATATACTTCAAGTACGAAATGTAAAAAAATACTCTGCACAATGGCCCATTTCATAATAACATAAAGTATAGCATTATTATAAGCTGTGCACTTCAAGTATTAACAGTAAACATACTTTTTTGCCACAGTATTATATTATTTTGGTTAATTTATCCTGTTTTTATTCATGTAAGAGTAGTTATTTAGATATGTGAAAGGCTGTGTAGATTAGTACAGTATCATGTGTTTTTCATATGTAGAAAGTAACCATGAGTGTTGAATAAATGTAGAGGAGTAAAAAGTAAAATATTGGCTTTCAAAGTGTAATAGAGTAGAAGTTTAAAGTATTATTACATGGAAATACTTAAGTAAAGAAAAAAAAGTACAATTATTGAGTAAATGTACTTAGTTACTTTTCACCACTGACCTATCCACCTGTCTGTGTAAGTAACAGCTCCCCCTTTCAGAGTTTGTGGCTGAAGTCAGACAAATAAAAACTGTCCTCACAGCTCCGACCTCACAGGTTTGACGTCCAGTGCCCTTTTCCAGGATGTCACTTCCTGCACATAGCTTTTATGTGGTTTGAGGGGCTTTTGCAGCACCATCAAAGTCAGTTCAAAATTGCTTTTTGAGAAATAAAAGCACTGAAGACGACTAATGAAAGCCTGCCACCCAAATTGGTGTTGTTTCAAAATGACAAGTTGCTGAACTAGCACTTGAAGATTTTGTACCAGATTTTGTACCAGCCTGAATGAAGCATTTTCAGAGGACATCAATCACCTCCAGTTGATGTTTGACTGTAACTCCAAGGAACATAACTTAATGCGCTTTACTTGGTTTATTTTGATGGTGCATTCAGCTGTCAATTTATTATTTCTATCCATGTCTTTTTAGATCTACAACGAGATGATCCGTGACCTGCTGAACCCCTCCTCGGGCTTCTTGGACCTGAGAGAAGACTCTAAAGGAGTGATTCAGGTGGCTGGCATCACAGAGGTGTCTACCATCAATGCACAAGAGGTTAGACAAGCCACCTTGCCCTGCATGTTCTCATTCATTTCAATGAAGACATTCTGATTACAACAAGTCTGCCTTTGTGTTTTCAGATCATGGAATTACTGATGAGGGGCAACAAGCAGCGCACCCAAGAGCCGACCGCCGCCAACCAGACGTCGTCTCGCTCCCACGCTTTGCTGCAGGTGGCCGTGAAGCAGCAGAGGGTGTCGAGACGTCCTGCAGGAAGTCCGCTTTGCACGCCTCTTCATGATCGACCTCGCCGGATCCGAACGAGCGGCACAGGTGTGTGTTTACATCCCCAGTCAGGAGGAGAGTAATTGGCGGAAATTACGTTTTACAGGTGTTTTGTTTGCAGATTTCTACGTGGTTGCAAACACTTCTGTCAACCATTCTGCCAAACTGAAGTTCAAAGACTGTGTTCGTACAACCTGAAAACTACAAGGCTCTGCTTTGTGAGAGTCTGCTCACTGGGGATGCTTGGCAGCCTATCTTTACAACAGACCAGAGGACTGTGGTTCCCATAAACCTCAGGACACTTTAATGAAAGCCCCTTTATATCTGCCATTACGGCCCGCTATGCACTTAATTAAACTCCAACCTTTTGGCAAATGGGATGACGTTAAAGTGCAACACAATGCTTTGCAGTTTCACCAAAGAAAAGTAAAAGCTGTGGAGTGGAAAGTATGTGTATTTCCACTTTATACTCCACTTTTTGACAACTTTAAATACTACTCACTTTTCAAATTAAGATTTAACATACAAACGATAACATTAACGTTAACATCTCGCCAAGCTTCAACAATGAAATATAACTTGCACATACATGAATCACCAACAATAAACTAATATATAGTATAGCATTGGGTGCATTGGGTACTTTTCAGTTCTCATAATAGCTACTTTCTTATACTGAGGAAAATCTTGATTTACCCAAACATATTTGTTTATTCCTTTAACCAGGTCGACTGTAACCATCATGATGTCATTTTCCCTTTCTCTCTGTGATCATTGAAGGAAGGTTTCTTTCCCGAAACATGGATATTTTTAGCATTATTACTTCTTTGACATTTTTTTGCAAGTGACAGGCAAAGTAAAAAAAAATGACATGCAGTATCTACATGCCCTTTTACAAAGTAGGAAAAAAAACGAAAGAAGTAAATTGACGACTGAAGTTGGTAAGGACTTTCATGATTGTCAAATAAATCACAGCCAGTTCCATGCTGTTGGCTGCTCGGTAAAGAAATGGGTCTCTGGTGTCTCACAGGTGCAGTCGATACTTCTGTAGAGAAGAGCAGGACTGTGTGTCAGACAGGGAAAATAACTACCTGTGAGCCCATTCCTTTTCTGCACTACATCTTTTGCACTGACCTTCTCTTTTCAAGCACTCTAGTGAGGATGTTAAAAAGTATTTGTTCAGTTTGTTGCTGGAAGTTTTTTTGAGTTGACTCTGCTTTTGGTGGCAGATGAGTGGCTTGTTATTTATGCCATGTTAACACTGCCACCTCACCGCACATCATGAGAACAACATGCAAACGAACAGTGAGGGAGAGCACTTACTTAACATGGAGACCTTTTGAGAGGCCTTGCTATTGATGAACAGCACATGTGGCCTCCATTAAGAATTGAGCTGAACAAGAGTTTTGTCACTTGAAGCAGCTTTGAACATTGTATGTGCTCCTAAAGAAGAAGAAGAGTGAAAGTAAAAGTTAGGGAGGTAATGCCATCTCCTGGGCAAGGATGGAAAATTGAAAGAAATCCAAGAGCCGTATTTAGAGTAGGATGCCTTGGAGGTAAAGTCCTTAAAGCCCCTGAAAATGTTTAAATAACTAAATGATGCTCTGCTATGTTGAATATGTGTGAAAGAAAACACTGATTGGTATTATTTTTTAGGATGTCAAATCAATGAGAAGGGGACAGATAAAAAAACTCAAACATAAATGACTGTGTTCATGTGGGATCACATTGCCTATGGTAACAAGTTGATAAAGAAGTTATTTTGGTCATTAAGCTGCTACATTAAAGTTACTGGTTGCCATTTAGCTTCAACCTGTGTTTCATGTTTGCCCCTCCCTGTATGTCCCTTCATTTCAGCTGTTTACTCTAACAAAAAGACCATGGAATGCACAAAAAATACTAATGTATATGTTTTCTCACACACATCTGTCTATCTATCAGACTCAGAATAGGGGTCAGCGATTGAAAGAGGGGGCCCACATCAACCGCTCTCTCCTCGCTTTGGGCAACTGCATCAACGCCCTGAGCGAAAGAAATGGGAGCAAGTACGTGAACTACCGAGACAGCAAGTTGACTCGATTACTGAAGGTACAGCAATATCATTTATAGGGAACAAACTGTAGAAAATACCCTCACTGTATGTGGTCATTCAGAAGTTATTTATGTATTATTAATTCTTCTGATGTCTTTGATTGACAGGACTCGCTGGGCGGGAACAGCCGGACGGTCATGATCGCCCACATTAGCCCCGCCTCCGTGGCTTTTGAGGAGTCTCGTAACACGCTGGCGTACGCTGACCGTGCCAAAAGCATACGCACACGGGTGAGAACTCACATTTCATCTTTACGCCTTATCTCTCTCTACTACTCATACAATTAGAAAGGACTGGATTTCTTGATACAATGAAATGTTTCATATAAATACTCCTTCACTGTAAAATGTCTTCGATTGGCAGTGACTTGCAATTTTTTTAATTTTGTAGGTCCCACTGCACCTATATCTTTGTAAAGTAGATTGTTAAGGTTTATTAAGACGATGTATTGCTATTTCAGTGTTGTAGTTCAGGACCAAATTAAGCTACTTGGTTGGAGTTTTAAGAGCCATGTAAATATCTAAAGTATTCTAATCCTTGTATTTCTCATCACTGTGTGCTTCAGGTTAAGAGGAACCTGATACATGTGTCATACCACATTGCCCAGTACACCAACATCATCTCAGACCTGCGCTGCGAGATCCAGCGTCTCAAGAAGAAGATTGCAGATCAGGCGAGCCGCCAGCTCAACTCAGACCGGGCTGACATCCGCCATGTGCAGGGTAAAGTCTTTTCCACACCACCTCCTGCAGTACATGAAGAATATCTGCCAAAAGAAGCTCTAAAATGAATATTCTACACTGCTGTTTCCTTACTCCTCGCTTTTCATCGTCACCTTTCCTCACCTCTCGTAGCTGAGGTCCAGGCCCACTCCAGCCAGCAGAGTCGGGCGGAGATGGACCAGCTGAGGGAGCAGCTCTTGGATGCCTTCCGCCAACAGATGGAGATCAGGAGGAGCCTGATGGAGCTGGAAAACAACAACATGGAGATCCAGATCGACACCTCCAAACACCTGTTAACTATTGCAGAGTCAGTGTTAACATTGTATATCTTCCCTATCTGATAGCAAACATACAGTAATCTTTAAGAACAGAGGACAGAATTATGAACCAGATGACATATTCATGGCAGTTTAAATGTTTATTTATCTTTTTTCACTCAGCTGGGAGCAGGAGCGGAGTAGACGCAGGAGGAAGTGGCGGGCTGAAAGGAGGAAGGAAAGTGTTAATAAGGATGAAAGTGAGAAGGACTCTGATTCCTCCGAGTCTCCTCCTGACAGCACAGAGACCCAGGAGGTGGCTATGGCCCGGGAAAACCTTGTTACACTCATGGCAGAACAGAAAAGGATCCACAAACAGAAGGTAGAGGAGACATCTATTAGATACTAAGCACTGTATTATTATACCTTATAAACAAAACAAAGTGTCTCATACCGTTCTTCTCATCCTCAAGGCATTACACGAGCGCAGATTTCTGGAGCTTAAGGATAGGGCCCGGCGGTTGGAGGAGCTGCTGCCACGGCGGGTGAGCTCAGAGGAGCAGCGGGAGGTTCTGTGTCTCCTCTGCAAGGTCCACGAGCTGGAGATCGAGAACACAGAGATGCAGTCCCACGCACTGCTCAAAGACAACGTCATCCGGCACAAAAACTTTGTGGTGCAGCGCTTCGAGCACACAGACACCTGTGTGATGAGATCATACAGCAGCAGAGGCAGTTCATTGATGGTGGGTATGGCAGCAATAACTCCAAAAACTGTTTAGCCCTTATACATCAATCAAAGTTATCAGAAATGCCTGTGTCAAATAACTGTCATAGAATTACATTACTTTCCAATTTCGTTAAGTTAATTTCGACTACCAAATGTTCACTCATTTTAGTTTGAGCCAGTTTGTTATTTCACAAAACACAGAAGTTTAATTATTTTCGGTACACACATACAAGAGGGATTTTTATTTAATCGGTATGGGATATGTCAATCATAAGCAATGATTTCTATGTATTTTATTTGTTGTGCCATGTCAGATTATTAAAATATATAAATATAAAATGTGCAAACAAAAAATATGCAACTATTTGGATAGAAAACATTCCAAACTTCTGTTGGTTCCCGTTTCTCAGCCTTAAGGACGTTCTGCTTTCGTTGCTGTTAGATAATAGTAAACCTTATATATTGGGGCTCTGAAATGTTTGTTCGACAAAACAAGGCATTTGACAATGCCTGAAAGTAATCAGTAGATTAATTGAAATAGAATAGTCGGTTGTTAATTTACCTGAACTGTATGTGTGTGTTTGTGTTCCAGACCACAGTCTGCTCGTCCCTCCACACCTCCAGGAGCTGTATGAGATCTACATGAGGCAGCTAGATGAGAGGAAGCTGGACCGAGCCATGGCCCTGGATAAGGTGACCATCAGACACACCATCAAGGTAAGTCAAATGTATTTAAACTAGATTATACAAACATATGGTTGTCTATACGAATATCATCACTTATAATTCCTCACAATTATTTCAGGAGGGCTCTCTACCAAAGATCACCCTGCCTGGTCAGGGTCGCGACAACACGCAGGACATGGACTCAGACCAGGAGAGTGTACGCAACATGTGCTCTGATAACAGGCGAGGCCAAGCCAAAATCCGTAGACACACTCTGCCCCCCATCCTGCACGAGCCTGAGCTGTAAGAGCACATCTGGTTCATATGTTTCTGTTCAACAGCTGATTTGATATAAACAGCAAAAGTCACAAAATGTACATATTACAATAACAATAGCAAAGTTAATTTCTCCATTTGTTCTTTTTTTTCTTCTGTCAGCGACAATAACAGAGTTTTCAAGAGCAGCCCTCATGCCAGGCAGTTGAAAAACTCGTCTGTAATGACCCCCCTTCCTATCCACATCAACGGCAAGGGTAACAGAGAGGTGAGGACTTTTCTAACTCTACTTATAATGAGCAGCATTCGCTCTGACTCGTTCCATTTCAATAGCTGTCCCTGAGAGGTGCCTCATGCTGTGAATTAATACAGCTGCGTCAGGTGTTGCTTTTGACTTCAAGCCATACGAATTCCTCTTTGAATTATACTCACATATATATTCCTTCAACAACTTCATTTGCAGCCCACACACCCGCACAATGGAGAGCTGTCATGAGTTTCTCTCAACTGTCTTTCCATTCAGGGTTTTTGCTTAGCTTTCCATGTTGAAACTCACAAAGCAGCAGAAGGATATCTTTGTACGGATAAAGCTAACAATACATTTTCAAAGATTCATCTGCAAATTATCTTCAAAATTAACTGATTCATCGTTTGGTTTGTAAAATGTGCATGTATGACATTTTTGCAAATAATACATGTTTTAACAGGTTATCACCAGGCCTTTTAGAAGACAAGTAAACAATTATTGAAATTGAAGGAACATTTCTGCAAAATTTAACAATTTACCACCTGGTCTGTCCTGTTTTTTGATTAATTAAATATATAATTAAATATCCATAAAATATTTTATATAAAAAGTATTTATAAAAGTAAGGCACCGACCGTCAATTAACTCAATGATAAAAAAAACGTGTCCCTGAAGTTAAAAAGATGGGAACCACTCAGCTAGTCGACTAATGGATGCAGCTCTACATATTGGTTCCAGGCTTAAGGTAATATTACCTCCATCTACTGTAATTTCCTCTTGTGTCAATGAGTCAGCAGTGTGACTCATAGACGAAATGAAAAAGAGTTATGAATGCTAGAATCCAAGTGCCCTATTCAAAGAAACATGTCATTTCCGAGAGGCACAGAGTTGATTCAGTTGGCTCTCAGTATGACCCTGACTGAAAGCAAAGTGACTCTGTGACCACCTCTGGATCTCATGTCTGCAGCTGCAGCCTCTGGCCCCTGAAAGCTCTCTGAGCTACACCCACCTCAGCCACAGCATCAGCAGCCACCTCGACTCGTCCCCCGAGAGCAGCGAGGCCGGGGCGGAGGTCGCCCTGACTCGAACAGGTAAGATAACAGAATATATTCAGGACAGGTTAGTGGAGTGACAAAATAAATCATTAATGAATTGAGAATGTTCAATTTATAGTCTTTTAGCACGTACAAATATGATATGAAATTAATCTTTTTCAATCTCTGAACAGTTAGCTGTGCCCATAAAATGTATTTTTTTCTTAAGTAGCCTTTAATGTGTGGTGCAGTGGGTCAAATATAAATCCCTGTGTCTCTGCAGAGCGGCAGCAAATCCTGAAAGGGGTCCAGAACATCGTAGTAAAAGCAGCCCGTCGTCGCTCCAAAGCCCTGGAGGCGGACGCGTTACGGTTACCCCCTCCGCCCTCCCCTCTGGACCCCAAGAAGCAGAAGAGCAGCCTCTCTTTGAGTGAGGCCCCCCCCAGAGGTTTGCCGATGCGACGCGGCAGGCAGCCCAGCCCCGAGCTCAGACACGCCACCTCGGACGACAACCTGTCCAGCAGTACGGGGGAGGGGCCTGGCCTGCAGGTAACCTGGACACGCCCACGCAACCGCCAGGTCCCGATCAAAAACCAGACGCCCCGAGAGGCGGACTTTGAGGCTCGCCGCAAGAAGAGGCGTTCCCGCTCTTTCGAGGTCACTGGTCAAGCAGTGAGTATTTTCCAAATGATGCATGCACAGGAGACAATGATGTATTAACATGAAATATTAATGCAGAACAAACAAAGCAGCCATTTCTTTATGGCCGTTTAGGGTAGGAAAAATTCAGGCAAATGGCAAACAGCCTCAATAGACCATATCAGGTTGTGACATTGCTTAAGGATGAACTGAGCAAACCTACCTAACTAACTAACCTAACCAAACTAAACACGTTTTTTGGCCACATCCCAGTAATGCATATGCTGATCATGACACTTTCACACAAGATTCCTTCAAGTATAATAAGGTGAAGTAATAATGTTTTATGTGGGATGACAAATGTGTTTAATAATTAATAGAGGCTTCCTTTAATATTTTAATTAGCTTAGTAAAATCGAAGCAAATTCAATGAGTAACATTTTAGTACAAAATAAGAAAAGCATGATATAATTTCTCCCTCTTCTTGTTTACAGCTGCCTCAAACAAAGACAACCACAGCTCAGAGGTTCCGCCCTCTGGACAGCACATCAGACCCCCATCTCCACAACAACGGGCCCCCACAGGCTCCCATGCTCCGCCCCCAGTTCAGAGGGGTCCCTCCTCTCGCCAAAATCAGGGCACACCACAACATCCAGCAAACAAGTGAACCACCTTCACTGCCAATGTAAACCAAGTATTGTCCTCAGTAACAACTTTGTATTGAGTATATTTTGTATGTCCCTTTCTTTTTACAGGCTCAAACACAGAGCCCTCCACAGCCCACATGAATAACCTGAAGCGGGGATCCCAGCTGCGGCAGCCCCAGCCCCTCCTCTACATCACCACCACAGGGACCGGGGCGCAGCGCACACGCAGACACTGAGCCAGCACCCCAATTTATCCTCAACACCAGCACTAACACCCAAACCAGCCCCCCAGCCCAGCATTTAACCCCTGAGTGACCGACATCAGGCAGGACTGTGAGGCAGTATGACTGAGACACCTCCACGCAGGTCTCCTCTGTGCTTTGCTGTGGACACTGAGCAGCGGCGCTCTGAGAGCCATCAGCCTGCAGACGCCAAAGATTGTTCAACATAAAGTTCTGTTCGGTTCTGTCCAGTGTTTCCACTTTAGCTTGCTGTCGTGCTAAATTGTGTTTGGTATCCTCAGGTCAGGATAACGTCAAGCTCACTATGAATGCAACATTGTACTAATGTTTGTGCGTTATGAGAATATATGGTTTGGTAATGTTCAGTGCTTGTGATAAGGGCCAGCATTGAGTTAATGGGGAATCATTAATGACTTTGTAATGGCAATGTAAAAACTGCATAATAGGAAATGGCCCCACATCAAATTGTTTCAGTATCTTGTAGTGACGTCCCGATTTAATGACACGCTCATATTTGAGTTAAAAAATCTTCTTGAATGTTGTGCCCGTCTGGATTCAAACTCAATGTTGTGTTCTCACACGCCCGGGGTTGATGCCTTCTCCCAAACATGACTGTTTAATGTCATGTCTGTTGTGTTAGATGTATAGTACCACAAGTTGCTTTTCCAGAGTAGTTGGCTGTTTTTAATGAAATTTTAAACTGTTGCCTTTACTTGTATTTTGTTGTCATCAACATTGTTTTTCATAATTACTACTTTTCTATGCTTTATTTTGTACATTTTTTTTTACTTTGTACCCCTAAATAAATTCAAAGAAGATGAGAAATGTTGCTCCTGTTTCTTCTGGTACAAACACATTATTAATTGGCTCCATTTAAAACAACTTTGATTGCAGCCAATAAAAATGCGGGACCAGGATTAAAATGAGTGTCAGTTGTAATTGTATTTTTCTAAATAATGAATCTGTGCAAATGAATAGTCTCGCATCTGTTACCATGACATTTCTTAGTCATTTCTACAGCAGAAAATGTTTACTCACATTATGCTTTCTGCTAATTGGATGTAATATTCTAAAACGTCCCCTAGAGGGTGAACAGTCACATATGGGCAGAAGAAATTCAGCATCCAAAGGAAAGTAGGCCATCTGATGGACCATTTTCTGCTGACAACACATTTGTTTATCCTAAAAGAGGAATTTTGAGCTGTTATCTAGCTTGTTTTAGCATGTATTATTCAATTTGGAGGATTATAGTCATTGTATATGGCTGATATTGAAAGTTGCATGCCCTATTTAGGATAGGATTGTTTTGAGTCCTTAAATCTGGCATGGGCACCCTCGCCTGCATATATAATTGTAATCACAAATTGCGTGTATATTTTATGAGTGAAAGGGCGGATTTTATTTAAATATATGAGGGTGTTTCGCAATCACTTGTCAAACTGCTTCTTCCATACTTGCTGCACCAAATGCAAAGTATCTTTAAGTAAGTATATCATTTGCAAATGGTTATGTACGCACTTATATGCTTGAAATAGACTTCGATATATTTGTGTATGAAAACAATTGTGAAATAAGTCCGAAAAGGGGAAAAAAGGATATTTTCATCCCATTGTATTATGAAAAGACTACGTCGGAAAATCCCGCCTCCTCTGAACTACTGACGGCATTCCTAACCAATGAGGAGTCACATACTTCAAAATTGGATGTGTCAAATCGACCAATCAGCGGAGAGATTACGGCTCTCGGACGGTAGTGCACGTACAGATTGATTTGCAACCCGCCGAAGCTACAGCGGAGAAGGAGGAAAAATGTCGCTGGCGTCGATACGGACCGTTCTAGGATCAGTGGCCTTTTAGGAAAACTCTGACGGCAGGTTTGGTGAGTGGGGGCAGCCGTCACTAGTTGCATCTTAGGTTAGCGGTTACATTTGGGCAGTCCCGTCCAGAACCGCTATAGATTTTATCCCGTTTTGTGCAAAGTTTTCGGGCCTGCTGTTTAGAAAAACCCAGCAGCAGCCGCCCATGGCAGCCATGATGAATGTTAGTTACGATAAATGAAGCATTGTTGATATAATGCGTCGATAGTTGATAAGGTTAGCTTCAATGTCATCTTTTTCCTTATAAATTAATCCTACAATTCAAAATGAGCAACTGTGGTTATTACATGTTTCCAAAATGAAGGAAAGTTTTCTTGTTGAATGATATATTCTAAAGTTATTCATTTGTACACCAGAGCTGCACATTCTGAGCGCGAGACTTAAAACGAGTTATCACGCGCGTTTAACATGGGCTGATTCTCTGCGCCATTTATAACGTTTTGAATTACATTTTATTGCGTGGTTACTTGGACATTGACAGGATACTAAGTTGACCTGAAATAGATATCCTGTTTATACGTCTCGTCCCAATCTCTTCTTTCAGCACTGGCTGCGCTGTAGCTGCGAGTAAAACAGACAGCAGGAGTGATGTTGACACAGAAGCTGACCTTTTAACTTGCCTGCTTAGCCCTTTGCAAGGTCCAATTTAAACACATGCCATGTCAGGCGTACATTTTCCTTTTGTATGGTGCGTAATTCACCTGGATGGGTTTTTCCCACCGAGAAAATCACATTCCTGCTGTGTCTTTTTCATTCAAGTCGATGAATAAAATTCAAAATATGTAGTGTCATTGTGACCCTGACTTCTACCAAACCACATTTACGTAAACTCACTTTGGACTTACTTGATTTTTCTTGTTCTCCAGAAACACTAACTCTATATCCCTCAAATTAATGTTCAACCTCTATTAATACTTTTGCACATGTTCCATCATGGGCTTGTATTTGATAAAAAACATTAGTAAAGTCTAAAGAGAATAACATTGACAAAAGAACACAATTAGATTACCAGAACCAAGTATGAATGGTGTTATTGGTTTAAAAAACAAAAAGAAAGTCCTGGATTCAAATGTTACCAATGTATAAGTGTTTGCATATAGCCTACTATGAGAAATTAAATTACTCATTATGCAGAACAGCTCAAATCAAAATATAATATTTAACTGGAGTTATAATTATGAATGTGTTCATCACTTAATGTTGTAGCTGGGTTAGGGTAACAACATTTGGTACAAAATCCTTTTGCCTTTTACTATTCCAAAACCAAATCAGTAATTATGGGTGAGTTCTCCGAAAACAATTATCATAGCTCTAATGGATTGACTTTGACTTTCCCACAGGCGAGTTAGTAATTATAATGTTATTTATTTATTATAGATTAGTATCATAATTAATAAGTCAACAGAGCTTTAACTTTGAATGTGAAGCAGCTCAGTGAGAACATTAGAAATGATTTGGTACTAACCAGGTTTTTACTATGTTTTTCTTTCAGAATGAATCCTCTGCTGTGATGTTTCCATGAAGGATAACACGCTTCCTGATACTGCACAGAAAGTGGGAACGCTCTAACAGTTTTCAAAGTGGGAGGTTTATCTGGACTGTAGGGGAGAGTCAGTTTATGTTTCCTTGTTGTCTAGTCAGCTTCAGCCATAACAATTTAAGAACAGAGGAGGATACTGTAACACTACATGGGCCTCTAAGGTGACCTGATCTGATCATTAAGCCTCTGGAGCCTCCTCCCTCAGCTAGAAAGGTCACATTTCAGCAAAGACATGGACCCAAATACTCGGGTGGTGGGCCTGGACGCCCAGGGGAACATGGTTTTCACCGTGGTCAAACCCGTAATGGGCATCTTCCAGGTGGCTTCAGAACAAACTGGCAATGTGGCACATGGCAGCATGGGGCTCCAGGGTTTATCTGAAAACACATTAATTCTCCCTCAAATACAAGGCCAGCTTGACCAGAACCAGATGGAAATGCACCATTTACAGCCTCATATCCAAGATGCCCCAGATGCAGGTTTCTGCCCCCGAGCAGACAGAGGTTGTGCCCCAGAATCAGGACCCGCCTCCCAAACTCAAGCACAAATCCAGATCTGCAACCCACATGCCTTTTGCTGAGGTGTCGTCACTTCTGGATCCCAACAATGAAAGGATCTAAGGCTCGTAAGTGGCCAGATATGTTATTGAAAACATTGTACATTTCAAGTTTAACGCATTTATGATTGACATTATTAAATACTATTAAGTCCATGCTGTGCTGATTCCTCTCCTACTGTCTTGATCTGTTTTAAGGGAAATATCTAATCTCGTATGATGAAATCAAGCGGACGGCCTGCAGGCCCCGGAGAAGATGTCGCTGCGCTCCCTGGCAGCGTACACTCGGGTCAGCAGAGGCCCGGCCAGCAAGAAAACTCTGCTGGAGTCACTGAATGTTCTCGGCCTCACACCAAGCACAACTACCTCTGTTTCTTCCTCTTTCTCCAAACTCACTGAAGGTGACACAAGATCTGTTAAAGGATGTGTAAATGTGCTGTTGCTAACAAGAAGCAAAAGACTTAACTGTGTTTTAATTTGTGTATGTGGTAAGGCGACACCCGAGCATTGTGTGACGATATGAAGGACTTTGCCCATGACTACATCGACTACAGCAACATGGCTAAACAACTCATCCCTGAGACCAACACAGTTCAACACTGGTCCAAAATAATTGAAACTAAGTACGTTACTACATGTCCTCGCCATAACCTAGCCTTCAAGAGGTGTGGAATAAAGACCGTAATAACACTCTTTTTTTCTTCTTAGGAACCACCTGGAGGACATGAGGAAGTGCTTCATGGACCCGGTGAACAGCGGTGCGTTTGATAACGTCACTCACGGCCTGGGGTCTCGGTATGTTGGACGCAGCCCTGGACATGGTCATTATGGTTATCGAGCAGAAGATCCGGATCCTGTCCGGCGCAGCGGCATCAGACCCGGCTGACTCCGCTCCGCCAATGCGCCGTATCCGCAGGCGCCACCGAAAATCCCCGCTCGAATGACATTGAGTCCCCTCACAAGGCGTCTGCTGGGGTCAACGAGAAAGGGAAGGTCATTTCGAAGGGCAAGGCTCGAGGCAAGCCAGGAAGAAGATAAGTCAGGAGAGTGCAGCTGTTGTTCTGATGGAAACCCAAACAGAGCAGTGCCAGCCGGATGATGCGCAGGGTAATGTCCTCACTCTGGTGTCTGTTGGATATGAGACTGTCTCCAGTGGGCTCAATACAACAGGGATAGTTGGACACAATGTCACATGACCAGTCCAAAGAACCAATTATAGTCCCATTCAAAGGGATGAAACACAGGCTCTGCACACTCTGTGAAAAGAGATCACAGCTATGGCGGGCTCAGCATCAACGTATTATGTTACATCTTGAAAAAGACTAAAGGAATAGTTGGATGTTTTTGGAAATGCTCTAGCTTTCCTGCAGAGCGTTAGATAAGAAGATTTCTACCACTTTCTTGTCAGTCCGTATTATTATTATATAATATGTAGCTGGGAACAGCATGTGGTTATTTTTACATAAAGGCTGGAAACAGGTCAAAACAGTTAGTGTCTGACCAAAAATAACAAAATCCACCTGCCAGCAACTGGAAGTCCACCCAATTAACACCTGACATCTAATTAGTTAGAACCACACAATAACATCTGAAGTGTAAGTAGTGGTTTTTACGGTTTGGTATTGTGTTTTCTACACTTTTTTTTTGTACAGAATAAGTCATGTTCAGTGAGCCTTAGAAGTTCAGATTTAATTTAATTTGGACAAAGCTAGGCTATCTGTTTCCACTCTTCATGCTCAGCTAAGATAACGAGCTGCTACTATGTATTGAATTTACATAAATGAATGTGGTTTCGATCTTCTGGTCTAACTCTTGGTCAGGGCCAGACTGGGATAATAATTCAAGCAAGGACCTTGTACTTGAAATGTATTTTTCTGGGTACTGTTTATGCCAGTCAAATATCTTTTTGTTTTTATTTTGCTACTAAAGAAAAATCTGCCAAAAAAACCCAACAAGGATAAAAACGTCTTCAGTTTAAAATATTCAACTGCACTTCAATAATCAATGCATCAGGAATAATTAGTTGATTTTTGAGCATTCTTGGAGTGTTTATTTGACACCAGGCATTTCCCTAGAGCTCTGATTGGACCTTCGTTGACGTCATGAAACTCTGGTAGATCTGTGTTAACGGAGGCCCTACATAGCATTGATGTGTGGAAGCCATGTATGAATTCAAACAGAATCAACTTGGGAGTGGAGTTAGGATATTATAGTGTGCTATACCATCCCTGGTAGCATGTGTTTTTTAATACTCTCTTACTATTACATTGAACACTAATCCTGTCCCTTGCTTATGAGCAATTGTGCAGTATTAAGCGGTATTTCTCTTTCATATTTTATTTTCATTTAGAAATGCTAAATGAAATGGGTAAATCAATAGCACATTTCCCTAAATGCCGAACCATCCCTTTAAGTGAATCCTCTGTTTCTTTAGTAGCAGGTTTCATATATGTGTAGTCTAACTGAATGCAGTTGCATATCATTTTGTTAACTATGTTTTCAGTGAGAAAAAAATACAGATGTTTGTAGACATGTTGAACACTGAGGACCCTGCCTGTGCTCAGGTGTGCCGCTCATGATTTAGAACAGATAGTATCAGAGGTCTGGATTGTATTTTCTGATGGTGGTACAATGTCTCCTGTGTCCCTGTTGTATTTATTGGTTACATTTCCAATTGAAAATATTTTTGTTCTGTACTAGATTGTTGATAAAACCTTTGTTTTGACTGGAATCTCAGGATTTGAGTAAAATATAAAGATTGGATTTTTATAACAAACTCTTGATGCTGTTATTGTCTTGCGATATTGATATCATAAATATTTACGCATTTACCCGTGCCTAAATAGAGAATGGCTTCAGATTGAATTTAAAAGTGATTACATTGTTTTGAGTTTTGGGGAGATTTCTTTTTTCAAATCCAGAAGTCAGAGATGTTCACTTATTAACAAATTGTAATGATGGGTAAAAATTGTAATGATTGGTAAAAATGGGTAATGATGGGTAAAAATGATCATTTATATTAGTTGAATTATATAGAGACCTCTGGCTTAAGAGTTGCAGTACATCTTTGTTAAACATTTTAGGAAAAATGCTATCTAATAATACACAAAAACGGATGCCAGTTTCCCACCTGTGTGTTGTTTCTCAGAATTACTCGAAGCTTGCAAGGCATTGTGGGAGATGTTAGGGTGGTAAGAATACAGCCAAGCGCTAATACCTTAACTGCTCTCACACCTACACACATGCACACCCAGGGAGGGGGGGGGGGGGAGAGAGGAGCTTTAGGGAGGATTTGCTCGTATTAACCCTGAGAGTGGACAGGGCCAGACAGAGTACAAGGAAGACAGACTCAACAGGCGTGTAACAGACATCTGTCTTATTTTGCACACAACAGGGCAGCAGTAAAACGAGAACCAGTGTAGGTTAAGTCGTTTCCTCAAATTAACAGCTAATGACTCCAAAGACCGACACAGCAAGAAAGAAAACTGAATATGTCGACCTGAGAAAGTTTCACCAGGAGATGGAGCAGAATGGGACACCCTAGTATGCCACCCACGTACAGCTACCCAAGTCCCTGCAGCAAGAAAAGTAGATCCAGCCAAATACAACCCTACACACCAAACGGTAAGTGGAGACGTATAGTTGATGATTTACAGTGTGAAGTTGATGTTAATACAGTAATGTTCATGCTTTATGTTAGCACATGGGACCTGCTTATGCAACCACACGTATTGTTGGACAGAGAGCAGCTTCATTACACAAGTGTTTGTCCATTAGCCACACCCCCAAAGTGTGGCTCTGGGTCCAATTTGGAGGGACCATTTGTGGTAGTTTTGTTTTGTTTTTAAGGTTTATGTCCTAAGATGGGGGAGGCGTGTGGCGTAGTGGTCTAGTGCGTATGTGTTCGGATCAGGGGGGCACAGGTTCAAACCCCACTGCAGTCAGCATGTCGTTGTGTCCCTGGGCAAGACACTTCACCCCAAATTGCTCCTGTGGTGATTGTCCACAGTATTGAGTATGTAAGTCGCTTTGGATAAAAGCGTCTAACAAGTGACATGTAATGATACCGTTGCAGCTTTCTACATGCTATTACCTATTTGTATGCCTCCATCATTAACACTTTTTCATGTTTTCTCACCATTACACAACAGTCAGGATTAGGGGTGAAGGGTTACCTACAATACACAGAATATCATGATGTTATATATCATTGTAAAGCTTGGACTAAATCCGTTACCAGTCACATTTTCGTGACCCTGAGGACAACAGAATGTGATCTTTGGCCTTTAGCACCCCAATCTGGCAGATCCTGAATACCCCTCTAATTCACTGCATAATTATATAATGTGCCTATAGATATTTCTTCACAAACATCTTCAAAATTATATATTTTACATGATTAAAAACAATCGAAGGTTTATATTTAGGGACTGAAACATTCGATCGGTCAGTATATCGTTGGTTGTGACTGAAATAACTTGCAAAAGATAGCCATAAGACTTTGTAGACACATTTGTGGTCTCAAGAGGATGAAACCAACGTTTGAGATCCACTGACTGTCTCAAAAACTAAATAACTATTGGATAGATTGATGCCCTCCTTGATGAACTTTAAAACCTTTTAATATCTCAACATTTCATCATTAGATCAAAGTTTGAATTCGTCCAGTACCTTGGTTTATGACCAAATATTTGCTTAAATAATGACACTCTCACCTTCCTCTGTTGTACGCTGTTTAGTGTTTATTAGCACGTTAGCATGCTGTGGTTGTTTTGAAAGTAGGATGTATAGAAATAAATCAGAGCACCACAAAATTATTGAAATGACTTGCATGATTCTTCACTCCTTATTCATAGAGATTCCCATTGGTACTGCTTTTATACTCCCTATTTGATCATGTTGATGTGTTTATGAGCAGCCCTGCTTCTCTCTCACCCACCTGTAATAACTTCAGATTATTCCCACGCACACAGAATCCTTTCCTTATTTTCGCCCCGTTTTATAACTCTTAATACATCTCCATTTTCCCTAATCTCTCTTCAGACAACCTGAACAATGCGCTGGGCTCTATCAGAGTCCTGGGGTTGGAACTGATCGCACACGAACTCGAACCACATCTGAACACAGTGCTGGCCAACATTAAGGAGAGGAGTGAGTTAATTCAATTCTTAACACTGTGATATATCACTTGTAATTGTATTCCAGGCTGTGCTATTACTCAAGCCTAGACTTAACACTTCATACTACACCACTAAATACATCAACACACGTCACAGAAATGACAAGTTTCATTGTTGTTTTCTGGCCTTTCATTTGATGCTTATATTCCTGCTACCACATGCAATGTACATATTTATGTCTTTCCATACACCTATACAATTCACAAGACATAATTCCTCCCACTCCTAGTGGCAGCTTTATCATAAGAGCTCCCCATTTTAAAACCTGGAGCAAACAGCACACTGGTGAGGGCTGAGAGGGGATCAGGTGTATGACAGTTGTAAGTCCTCGCTAGACGTTAAGCTGTATTTGTGTCTCCCAGCAAAGAGCAGCAGGAGCAGAGAAGCAGAGGAGGTAAAGGCGGGTTACAGAGATCACATTAACAGTGAGGCTGAAACCGATTCTATTCAGTTTGAAGATTGAAGACACACATCTTATCGATATTCTTGATATGTAAAGCCTCATAATTCCTCGGCTGTGGCGTGTTCAATGACAGGATTATAACATGTTGTGTGTGAATGTGTTGTTTACATGTGAATTTCTGCGTGTGTCCAGAGAAAGGCGCTGCTGAGCAGGTAGTGATCAGTGGGATCTTGCCCATCCTGGCCCTGTCTCTGAGGAGCAGGGGGCCTCTCACTCTGCCCACCGCTAAACTTGTGGCTGAACTCGCCAAGGAGTGTAAGTTATTCACATTTATTAATACATAGTTTCTTATTCAAGCCCTTGATTCTTAAAAGTACATTTCTTGTCAGTTGCCCTTAAGGCCTGCTGCATCTTCTCCATTCTTTTATATATTTTTATTAATGTGGTTTTATGTTAATTCATTGTTTGTTTGTTTCCTGTCAGCTGTGGTTCGTAAAGGTTTCGGTGATGCAGGTTTAGCTCCGGCTTTGCTGTCCGTGCTGACCAGTCTAGACCAAGAGCTGCTGCTTCACGCTGCAAGAGCCATCTCTCGCATGTCTTATGACAGCTGTGAGTAAATTAAAGGTTTCAATCTAATGCATCAGAATAGGAATCTGCTTTATTGGGTTTTCACACTAAAGGAATTTGCTTTGTTATTGCAAAAAATAAAAAGCATTAAAAATAAAATAAAAGCACAATAGGGCGCCTTTAAAAGATAATAAAAAAACAAATAAAAAAGATGTAGAATTAACATAAATATAGAATGCAAGGAAAAATACAATTACATAATTAAAAAAAAAATACATTTAAAAAATATGTCCAAGAAACATAAATAAAATGTTAAAGAATACAAATAAGAAAAAACAATTAAATGTACAAGAAACATACATTTATAAAAGATGAACTCTAGAATACAAATATGAAAAAAACAATAAAAAATATGAACAAGAAACATAAATATCAGATAAAAGAGAAGAAAATATAAATACAATAACAGTCGGAAAATGTACAATTGCGAAATATTTGCAAGAAACATAAGTTAAGCATAGAATGAAAATACAATAAAAATACGGAAAAACACTTGTTAAATATCAGAATTATACATGTTGAAGAAACAAAATGGATAATACAATCAAATATAACCATTCCCTTTTCCCCCCTTTTACATTTTTTCCATGACATTATTCCAGGTTTTTTTCAATTGCTATGAAGCTCTCTTACATCTAAACAACTATTTTTTATTTGGTTCTATGCCTCCAGCCAAGCTGCAGCACCTGCTGCTCCGTCGGGGTGCGGTGCCTCGCCTGGTCGCCATCCTGCTCCGCTTCCCTGACAAGGAGGCCCTGGAGGAAGTGTGCCTGCAGGCGCTCTGTAACATCAGCGGCATGGGAGTGGCAGAGGAGGCAGGCATGGTCTGGGAGAGGGGTGCATCTGTGAGGCCGGGGGAGACTGTTTTTCACGGCGTTTCTCCTCACACCTGTGATGTTGCCTCTTCTGTGACTCTGGTGTGTGTGTCTCAATGGGCCCCGGGTCAATATGCGGTCAATATTGAGGTTTTCCAGCGCTGCTCCTCCTCTTTCTGGAGCCTTCACGGGAACAAACGGAACGCTCGTTGGTTTCCTTTCTCCAGATTGGGAAGCTTTTCTAATCTGTTGAAGATGATCAAATTCTCTACAAGGAGTGTTCCTGGAACCAAAAGTCTGAGGAATCGCTTGTTTCACACTTTCCTATGACAGCTTATAAAACTCTGAAGAAGGGACTACTACAACCTCTCTGAACACTTCACCAATTATGGAATGTTTACACCTTATACACTTTTTGTAAATATTTTGTCATATTCTCAAAATTGTTCAATGTGTCTTGTCTATTCCTGTTTACTTGTATCTGGCTGATGGCAATGTACATCCTCTCTGAACCACCTGTATTACTAGAGTTTAACACTAGATGGCATGCATGTGCTTTGTGGAAACACATGTTTGTGTGCATTGCAATGCTTAAGAAATAGAACACCAGTTTGTGACTTGCACACATGCCTACTCAGATGGACTGAACTTGATAATGACAAGCTGTCTGACTGCACATCTCAGTAGCTATTCTCAGATATTTACATAGATTTAATTTTGTTACTTTACCCTACTGTTGATGTCATAGTGT